AGCGAGGAGATACCCCAATCTGCAAAATTCCCATATGCCTTAGCATTTTTGCAGTACGACACATTTACTACCCACCACATTAGGTTCTTTCGTTTCCTGAGCCCGTCGCAACATTTTCCTGAGATAGAGAAGTTGTAGCCTGCAATACATTCACTTAAAGGCATAAATCTGAAGGGATAAATCTTTCGCAGCTGACCAATCCCTTTTTGGGATGTAGCACGCATCTATTCCGTTCAGAGTAGTATTGTCTTATTACATGCAGAATCACCTATACAACTGCTTGCTGGGGTAGAAGCTTACACGTTGGGGTTTTATAAGCGTTCTAGGTTTAGGACAGATTCAATAACTTCGTCGAGATGCAAGGACTAGTTGGATGAAGGGAAGGAATAAAACAACAATACTAACCGCGGCCGCTTCATCTGTCTCTTCTGTTGACTTAGCGACGCTTTCTTCTTCGAGACGGCGCTTTTTCTGTAAAATTGTCGGTATTCCCTAAAAAAACTAACTAGGAAATGACTTATGGTCTCACCGGTGCTATTGGCCCAGTTCTCCTGGTTACCCGCGATGGTGGTCCTTCACTGGGTGATTCTTCGGTACTTTTGCCTCCAATGCAGACTGGTGATTTTGCTACCTGGAAATACTACGCATTAGATATCCACTGAAGAAAAAACTTGGAAGGCAAAGGGAAAGGAGCTACTGTTAGCAGATTCCTTCAGTGGGAGTGGGCACGATGGCTGGGGGCGGGCGGTTGTCGCCAGCGTCATTGGTGGAAGGGCTAAGTAGAGCATGACCAAACGCCTCTCACAGTTCCTCCATCAGTGATGCTGGCAGCATCCGCTCTCAAAGGGCCATGTCGCATGGTCCCCTTGCGAAACCGTGTTGCGCAGACAAATCGACAGCGGCTGTGAAAGCATAGGAATGAACGAAAAGAAAAACATCTGGCAGAGTCTGGAATGGGCTTTTCAAGACGAGGAACTTCGATGTAAGTCACTCAATTTGCGTCAAAGCTGAGTGGTCGTAGAGAGCCATGCAGATGAAAGGCAGCCCAGGGACGAACAGAAAATTTGCTTCGCAGTACTGTCAGTTCACAGTAACGCAAAAAGCTAGCTGATACTGTAAAAGTTGCCATCTCAAACGTACTGGACGCAGTGGATGGCCCACTTTGTCGCAGGGATGAGATTGCCTACGGTGAGCAACAATATTGCGTCTTCCCTATGAGCAGAGAGGAGTGTTCCCATGGCTGACTTAACTTCTTTATAACACAATCAAATTGTTGCAATTCTACCCTAAGCTTGGCAGCACTGCCTTGTACCATCGAAATGTCCTCCATAGAATCCTCGGAACCCTCACCGTGAGCGCCGTTCCAACTCGCTCGGAAACGCGAAGCACTGCCGAATTCTGCGATTTCGTA